CAACAACAACAATGGCTAATGATCATGAGCATTTCTTCCTAGTTTGTTGGCTGCCTGAGTGTTTTCCTAGGTGAAGTGCCTGTTCAGGTCCTGTGCCCATTTTTAAATTGGGTTATTTGTCTTTTTCTTGTAGAGGTGGTGTAGTTTCTTATACATTTTAGAGATTAGTCCCTTTTCTTACACCTTGTTGCAAAAACTTTTTTTCTAGTTTGTGGACTTTTACTGTAAAAGAGTACTTTTGGTGAAATCTTTTGATGCATATAACTTTCTAATTTTTAGTATGTCCTAGTCATTCATCTATTTTGTCCTCTATTGTTTGTGTGTTTTTTGCCATGTTTGATAATCTATGTATGCCATGTATTAGAGCCCTTAAGTTGTCCCTATTTTTATATTGATGATCTTTATGGTCTTGAAATTTACATTTAGGGCTTTAATCCATGTTGATTTAGTTTTTGTATATTGTATGAGATATGGATCTTAATTCTTTTTGCAAATTGATTTCCAGTTTTGCCAGCACCATTTGTTGAAGAGACTATCTTTTCCCCATTTAATATATTTTGGCCCTTTGTCAAAGATCAGTTGACTGTATGTGGATGGATTTTCTTCTGGATTCTTAATTCTGTTCCATTAACCTGTGTATCTTTCATTGTATCAAACCAGGTTGTTTTGATCACTGTGGCTGTCTAGTAAATTTTGAAATCAGGGAGTGAGAAACCTTCCAGTTTGTTGTTCTTCCTAAGCAGCAGTGTTTTGCTTATCCTAGGTCTCTTATCTTCCGTATAAAGTCTGTGATAGTTTTTTCCCATCTCTTTAAAGAATCTTGTTGGAATCTGGATTTGGATTGTGTTATAACTGTAGATTGCTTTGGTTAGTATTGACATGTTCACAATGTTGAGTCTGCCTATCCATGAACATAGTATATTCTACTATTTTTGTAAATCTCATTTGGTTGCTTGGAGTTGTATTTTGTAGTTCTCTTTGTATTGGTCTCTGGTTAGATTTATTCCTGAATATTTCATCCTTTGGTGGCTATTGTAATGGTATTGTTTTCCTAATTTCCCTTTCAGAGCTGTCTTTATTAGGAGCGAAGAATCCAACTGATTTTTATACATAGATCTTGTACCCTGCCACTTTCATGAATATTGCATTGAGTTTCAATGATTTTCTTGCTGAGTCTTTGGGATTTTCTGTGCATAGGATCATATCATCTGCAAATAGAATTTTACTTCTTCTTTGCCAGTTTTGTTATTGTTGTTAGGTGCCATTGAGTCGGCACCGACTCATAGCGACCTTATGCACAGCAGAACGAAACAATGTCCAATCCTGGGACCACCTTATTACTGTTGCCACACTTGAATTCATCGATGCTGCCACCTGGCCAATCCATCTCGTTGGGGATCTTCCTCTTTTTCTCTGACCCTCCATCTTACCAAACATGATATCCTTCTCCAGCGACTGTTCCCTCCTGACAATATGTCCAAAGTATGAGAGGCGAACTTTGGCCATCTTGGCCTCCAAGGAGCACTCTGGCTGCACTTCTTAATAAAACAGAACTATTGGCTCTTTTGGCAGCCCATGGCACTTTTAGTATTCTCCTCCAACACCATAACTCAAAGGCATCAATTATTTTATGGTCTTCCATATTCACTGTCCAACTTTCACATGCATATGAGGTTATTGAAAATACCATGGTTTGGGTCAGACGCACCTTACTCCTCAAGCTGACATCTTTGCTCCTCAACACTTTAAAAAGGTCTTGTGCAGCAGATTTGCCTAATGCAATACGTCCTCTGATCTCTTGACTGCTGCTTCTGTGAGTGTTGATAGTTGATCCAAGAAAATGAAGTCCTTGAAAAGTTCAGTCTTTTCTCCATTGATAAGAATGTTGTTTATTGGTCCAGTGGTGAGGATTTTTGTTTTCTTGACATTGAGATGTAATCCATACTGAAGGCTGTGCTCTTTGATCTTCATCAGTAGATATTTTAAGCCCTCTTCACTTTCAGCAAGCAAGGTTGTATCATCTGCATACCGCAGGTTGTTAATGAGTCTTCCTCCAATCCTGATGCCATGTTTTTCTTCATATAACCCAGCTTCTCAGATTACTTGCTCAGCATACAGATTGAATAAGTATAGTGAAAGAATACAACCTTGTTGCACACCTTTCTTAATTTTAAACCATTCAGTGTTCCCATGTTCTGTTCGAACAGCTGCCTCTTGGTCCATGTACAGATTCCTCATGAACACAATTAAGTGTTCCGGAATATTCATACTTCGCCCTGTTGTCCATAGCTTGTCATGATCCATGCAATCTAAAGCCTTTGCGTATTCAGTAAAGCACAGGTAAACATCTTTCTGATATTCTCTGCTTTCAGCCAAGATCCATCAGACATCTGCAATGATATTCCTTGTTCACGGCCTCTTCTGAATCCAGCTTGAACCATTGGAAGTTCTCTGTCAATATATGATTGCAGCCGCCTCTCTATTACCTTTAGCAAAACGTTACTCGCTTGAGATATCAAAGAGATTGTCCGATGATTTCCGCATTCCATTAGTCACCTCTCTTTGGAATGGGCACAAATACGATCTCTTCCAATCAGTTGGCCAGATAGTTGTCTTCCAAATTTCTTGGCAGAGATGAGTTAGTGCCTCTTGTGCTGCCTCACTTTCTTGAAAGATTTCAATTTTTATTCCATCAATTCCTGGTGCCTTGTTCTTTGCCAATTCCTTCAATGCACCTTGGACTTCCTCCTTCAGCAAATCTGAAATTATTCTGCCAAATTGGTTTAAATGTGTTTGACCCTTAATATTAATTTTTGTAACTGTCTCATTTTGGACTGGGAGCAAACAGTTTACTGTCTGGCACTGGTCCTTGACCTGCACTTTTGAGTAGCGGTGTTGTACACTTCTCCTCTCGCTACCTGTGTCTCGTTTTTTCCTACCAGGCGCCTTACATTTGAGTCTAGGATCTTAGCCAAAAGGTACTTAAAATATTGATTCACATTTGATTACTGACTCAAGTAATTGTTGTTGTTGTTGTTTTATGGTGCTGTCGAATTGGTTCTGATCCATAGCAACCCTGTGCAGGGTTTCCAAAGAGCACTTGGTGAGCTTCAACTGGCAGCCTTGTGGTTCAAACTGACTTTGCAGTCCAGCTGATTAACTCACAGCGCCACACCAATAGGGTGGCTCAATTTACAGTTTCACATTACAGACTTTGTTTACGAAGCTTCAGCTAATCAGTCCTTGAATTACCCAAGCAACAGACCTCTTGTTAAGTGCTGTGGGGTCGTTTCCAATTCATAATGACCCTGTATTGGGTTTGCAAGAAGCAGCTGATGGATTTGAACTGCCAACCTTGTGGTTTGCAGTCCAGTGTTGATGCTGCAGTGCCACACCAGGTGTCTAAGCAACAGACCTGGAGCTATATAACTATGAGAAACTTTGTAAAATGTCTCATATTAGTTCAAGTAATGCAGTATCGTCCCTCAGTAATACGACAGCCTAAGGCAAACACATGGAGTCCTGGTGAGGCACTGTGAGATAAAAGCACTGGACCATAAATTTGGTTTGAACTTCAAGGTTGTTGGTTGAAACTCTCCAGCTGCTCTTTGGAAACCCTCTACAGGGTCGCTGCAGTTTGGAACTGACTCAACAGCACTTACCAACAACAACAACAACAACAACAACAACAATGTAAGCAAACAGAAAGCTAGGTCATGTATTCCAGAATACACGTTGTGCACTTAACATTGCTGGGGAAGACGATCTAGTCATTTTACTGCCCTAAATCACAATCTTCTCTAAGTAGGAATGCTTCTCTGAGTACTTGGAAAGTGGGACATTCACAATGTATTTCATTTTATATATTGTTTTAGGTTAGTCATAACCAAAGGATGAGCTTGCCTTCATTCTTTCCATAAATAAAATTGAATTTGTTGATATGTTGTTGTTGTGTAGTGCTTTTGAGTCTGTTCCAACTCAGAAGGACCCTTCATTGGGTTGCTGAGGAGTGGCTGATGCTTTGAACTGCTGTCCTTGGGATTAACTGCCCAGACCTTACCCATGGCGCGGTAGCAGGAGTCTTGATAAGTACATTAGTGTTAATCAAAACTTGATTTAGCTGTTTAAGTAAGTGGTGTGCTTAAATCATTGTGTTGGGATTTTAAAATTTCATTTTCCAGTTGATTTCATTAAATGAATATGTATATTTCTATTAACATTCTTTAAAATTTTAGTGTTTTTGGGGGCTCAGGATCATGTTCTCAGGGGAGATCAAGGTCAATTGGCGTAACATAGTCCACAAAGACAATGCTTTTCATCTTACTTTCGTGAGTAGCAACTGGGGCCTTAAAATCATGAGCATGAGCATCTAAGGTCCAACTATTATTCTCCCTATTATGAATAAAGAAGACTGAAGAAAATCAAAGACTCATGGAAATTATTCATGTAAACGACTAATGGACGTAGCATACTGTAGCCTCCATACCCGAGACCAGAAGAACTAGATGGTGTCTGGCTGAAAAAATATGGACTAAAACTCAAAATCATAAACTTACTGGTCTAATAGAGACTGATGCCATACCCAAGACTCTGACTCTTAGCCACCCTCAGGCCTGGAGTTGAATGCATTCCTTTGACTCGACTTTTCAGCCAGACAACAGACAGGCCTATATGGTGAATAAAAACATCAGGGAGGTATGCATTTCTTAGAACATTCAATCATATAAGATCAAAAGAGTAGCATTTGCCCAGAGATAAAGCTCAGAAGACAGAAAAGGTTAGTTAAGGATATATGGAAATGGTAAACTCGGGAGAAGTGGAAGAGTGCTGTTACATTACATATAAGAATACGCTAAGTGTCACAAAACAAAATGTGTATGAATCATTGAATGGAAAATCAGTTTGCTCTGTTAACTGTGACGTAAATTGCAGAAGTAAGAGAAAATATTTGTGTTCAATTTTTTCTCTGCTCTAAATGCTTTTTAATGTTTACTTTTCAGGAATTACCTAACTCAGTCTTTCTGGTGATGGAGGTAGGTGGTATACAGCTTCTTATTAGTTTATTTCCTATATTTATTTATGTACTTCAAAATTGAAATTAGGTTAGTTGAAAATTTTAATTAATTAAATCAGTTCAGTGATTTAGTCTATCCTCACTATAAATATAAAAATAAAATTTTTGATTTTATAATTCTTCAGACTAGACTTCCTGTTTAAAAATGATTTTAAAATAAAAATGAACTGTTATGAATTAAATGAATCTTGAATCACAGCCCTTATTTTAACTACTTTTTCTTTCATATGCATCAGTATTGCAATGGTGGAGACCTGGCAGATTATTTACAAGGTAATTTTTCTGTGTGTGTCAGTATGTAATAAGGATAGTACTGTGATCTGTTTAATCCTGAGAGTTACTTCTGAAATAAGCTATGCCTCCTGTTTCCTGCCCTTGTATAGAAGCAGTTCAACAAATATTTGTTTAACTTGTGATCGCTTGACTACTAGCTGTTTTTTGTTGCAGTTTTGTACCTAATGTGTAAGTCCTTATTTTTATGTGTGCCTCTTTATGACAGTGTTTGTGAGATTGATTTTCTCCCTAGGAGAGATGATACCAAATGGAATTTCTCTCTTTCAAAATATTTGACAAAATATTTTATTTTTTAAATAAAATTAAAAAAGTCAATATTAGAAGAATGTATCCAAGAATGTATTTATTATGTGAATGTGTCTTGTGAATTAAAAAAGAAGACGACACTATAAAACTTAAGTATAATAAGGAAGTTATTTCTTGGCAGTAAGGTAAGATTTTAATACTAGATGATGCTTGTTCTATACCCAAAATACATACATGGTACAATATGAAACATTCAGATCAGTGTGTCCTTCCAAAGTGTAATGAGTTTAGTGAGGCCAGTAACTACGGGGGTGAGTCAGAAATTATATACAAACTATGGTTGTATTAAAACACCTGTCCAAGTTCACGGCTGATGACAGCATTGAGCGTGCACGTGAAATGATTATGTTGAGTAGATGAGTAACAGTGGATTATGTGGCAAACCAGCTATGGCTCAGCCCATGAAATAATCCATGACAGACTTGGGTTTCAAAAAGGTTATGCGAGATGGGTCCTGAAATAACTCATGGGAGAGCATAAACAGAAATGTTTGGACTGATCCTCAAAGAAAGGTAAAAGTGTCTTTAAAAAAATAATAACTGGGGGTGAGACATGTCTTCATCACTACCAGCCTCTGGAGTAAATGGGCGAGTATGGAATGGAAACAGTCTCAATTGCCGAGCAAAAAAAAGCTCAAGTCAACCATCAGCTGGAAAATTGGTGCTTACTGTTTTCTGGGATTCTCAAGGGCCAGTATTGAAACACTATCAGGAAAAAGGTTTAACAGTCAACAGTGCTCATTATGGTGAGGTGCTCACTGAAGAGCTGAATGCTAGACTTTGGATTAAATGCAGAGGACTGCTATCCAAGGGTGTTGTGATGTTGCATGACAATGCACATCCACACTCTTCTGCCCACACTGTTGACACTCTGCAAAAACTTTGTTTTGAGGTGTTAAAGAATTCTCCCTGTAGTCCTGATCTTGCATCATCGGACTTTCACCTGTTTGCTCCCCTGAAAGCAGCCATTTGAGAATAAAGATTCACTTCTTATGAATAAATGAAGACAGCAGTTCATTCTTGGCTCGGTAGCTCAGCCTTTTTTAAATAAGGAAATACGAAATAATTGTTTAATAAGGGAATACAAAAGTTTGTTGACAGATGGACTAAGTATGTAGGAAAGCAAGGCGATTATGTTGAAAAATGATATATTTGTTTTTTCTAAAAGTTGATGAAAATCTAGAGCCACAGTGCAGATAATTTTTGACTCAGCGTCATACTTATTCACCTCTTTGACTAATAGGAAGAAGGACTGTTGTTTTTAATTGTAAATTGAGTGATAACTTACATGGAGAACATCAGTTTTATACTCATCGTTTCTTTGCAATGATTATAATCCCCTCCATGCATAATCGTTCAGTAGTATTTGCTTCTATTCCCTCTGTTTTTTGGGGTTTTTTTTGGCTGGGAGATGTACACAACAACACTCAGGAATATGTAATATTTTAACCAAAGGGCACATTCTGCAAGCCTGAAGAGGGACTCTTCTTGTCTTGAGAAGGTGACGTATATACCTGTTATATTTGAGGTAACCTGGTCACTCACCTTCAGCAATTAAAAGAAAACAAGGAAAAACAAAGTTCTTGTATGGAACTGTAGGATAAACACTGGTCTGGTAACTGCAAGGTCGGTGATTCAAATCCACCAGCCACTCCTTGGAAACCCTGTACAGGGTCGCTATGAGTTGGAACTGACTTCATGACATTTAAACAGCAGCAACAACCGTGACCCAAAAGATAAAAACATAAATCAGTTCTCTGCAACAGGTTGGGTAACATTTTTGAGAAATTTCTCTCTCTCTCCAAAGATTTAAGTTACTCATTTAAAAGACTAGTAAATGTGAATCCCAGTTCATATCTCCTTAACAACTCAGTTCTGCTGACAGATGTGCAGAGATGCTATTTGCTTTTATGTATACTTAAATGTTCATGTGACTTCTTCTCTACCAGCTAAAGGTACTCTCAGTGAAGATACTATCAGAGTGTTTTTGCATCAGATTGCAGCTGCCATGAGAATCCTACACAGCAAAGGGATAATCCACAGGGATCTTAAACCACAGAATATCTTGTTGTCCTATGCTAATCGAAGAAAATCAAGTATCAGTGGTATCCGCATCAAAATAGGTAACTCACCATGTATTGTTGAATGCAAAGCAGGTTTCTAAAACCTAGTAGTTTTAGCTAATTTTAGTTCAGCTTGGTTATAAGGATAAATTGTTTTGATGCAGTTTTGAAATTTTTCTTTAGTTCATTGATGTACATCTAGGTTTGGGAAGCCTTTATGCTTTTGGTAGCATATGGTAAAGACAGGGCCAAAGGAGCTCTTGCTGTGAACCTTAGCAGTAGATCCTGGTTCAGAGAGGAAAACTAATGTCTTCACAATTTCTGGCAGCTTTAAATAACTCTGATTTATGATAATTCCTGGTATTTTAAAATAATATGGGACCTAAGGGATCACCTAATTCAGACCTCTTATGTGGCTTTTTTATTGCTCTTCTATTTACAAATTATTTGAAGCAGTTAGTAATACTGGCATAAATTTTAAGCTTTTTACACTAATTTTAAGGAAAATAAATAGTATTTACTCTCTTGTGTCTTGAAGAACCATGTAATCTATATTACGTGTGAGTAAATGTATCTTGTTATTCTACTTTTTTATTGTGAACTAGCGGATTTTGGTTTTGCTCGTTACCTACATAGTAATATGATGGCTGCGACACTGTGTGGATCCCCAATGTACATGGTGAGTGAGTGTTCACATAGTTGTGTGTTTATGGTGCAGCGCCGTAAGCATTGGAATTTAAGTGTCTTGGTTGTTTCCAGGGAAGATGGGGTTTTAGACTCACGATTGGGTGAATTGTTGAGATGTTACTGATATTAATCATTGATATGCTGAAATGATATGCTTTACCATATTGCTTTTGCTGGGTGCTGTGGATTCGGTTAAAGGATTTCCGAGGAGCAGCTGGTGGACTTGAATTGCTGACCTTGCAATAGGAGTCCAGTATCCTTCTGCTTTAGTATGGTGGTGGTCGTGGTGGTTGTGTGCCACTGACTCGGTTCCAACTCACAGTGAACCTTTATAGGGTTTCCAAGGCTGTGAATCTTTATGAGAGCAGAAAACCTCACCTTTCTCTCACAGAGCAACTGGTAGATTTGAACTGCAGTTAGTAGCTCAGCTCGTAATCCACTATACTGCTAGGGCTCCTTAGTTGTAGCATGTTGTTGTTGTTATGTGCTGTGGAGTCGGTTCCAACTCATAGCGACCATGTACAGGGTTTCTGAGGCTGTGAATCTTTACGGGAACAGAAAGCCTCATCTTTCTCTCACGGAACAGCTGGTAGTTTCGAACTGCTGACCTTGCGGTTTGCAGCCCGATTTGTAACCACTACGCTAGCAGAGCTCCTTTAGTTGTAGCATAGTGGGCTGAAAAGTATTTTGTTTGGCCACTGATTGTTTTTTTAAAGTCTTAGTTATGGTAGAAGTTTTTCATTAGACTCCATTGAAAATAGAACTTGATCAGGTGATGCTGTCCATCTACTGCTCTCCAGTTGGTTCTGACTCAGAGTGGTCCTTACATGTAATTCCTGATGGGCTCTATTAGGACAACTTTTCAGCTACTTGCATTGTTCACATTTTCATTGTTGTCTCTTGACAAGATCCGTACATCACAGAAATATTTTCCATCAACATCACACTTAAAATCGAAAAGTACTAGCATTTCTCTTTATCGCTTCATATAGACAAAACCTATTATCTGTCATAGGATGAGGCTGTGACATTTCTGAATATTATGAAATGTGCACCTCAGTATTAATTTTAAAATTAATTTTTAAAATTTATGCCAGTATTACTAACGGCTTTAAATAATTTATAAATAGAAGAGCAATAAAAAAGTTGCCAAGTAAGAAGTCTGAATTAGGTGATCCCTTAGATCCCGTATTACGTTAAAATCCCAGGAATTATTATAAATCAGGGTTATTAAAGCTACCAGAAATTGTGAAGCCACTAGTTGTGAAAATCTTCACAACTGGACCAATAAATAACAATCATGATAAGCAGAAAAAAGATTGCAGTTGTCAAAGACTTCATTTTGCTTGCATCAACAATGGACGTTTATGGAAGCAGCAGTCAGGAAGCAAATCCTGCTGTAAAAGATCTTTTTGAACGTTTTGATGAGCAAAGATGTCAGTTTATGGACTAAAGTGTTCCTGACCCAAACTATGGAATTTTAAGTCACCTTATATATGTGTGTAGGAGCTCTCATAGTGTAGTAGTTACGAATCGGGCTGGTAACCTCAAGGTTGGCAGTTCAAAACTCTCAGCTGTTGCGCGGGAGAAAGATGAGGCTTTCTGCGCCGGTAAAGATTTGCAGCCTTGGAAACCCTGTGCAGGGTCACTATGAGTTGGGACCAACTCCATGGTACTCAACAACAACATATATGTGTGAAAGTTGGACAATAAATGAAAAAGACCATAGATGAATTGATGGATTTGAATTACAGTGTTGGCAAAGAATATTGAAAGTACCACGTGCCATGTTGCTGCCAGAGAAGCAAACAAATCTTTGTTGTTAGAAGTCCAGCCAGCATGCTCCTTAGAAGGTGGCAGCTCACCGTGTTGCTTTGAATGTGTGTCACAGCATGGTCAGCTGCCATCTTTGAGTGAGGCACCACTGCCTGTTTCCTACACGAATCCAAATCTGATATGTAGTTGCTATACTATGTGTACTTTGCCCTTGTTTCTGTTCATAGACGTGAGGATGGCGAGACTTGGTCTCTTGTACTTTGGGCATGTTGTCAGAAGGAACCAGCCCCTGTGGGAAGTCATCATGCTTGGTAAAGTGGAGGGTCAACAAAAAAGATAAAGACCCCTTAATGCTACATTTGTTCTATTTTTTAAGAAAAAAATATTTCAGAAACAGTTTGAAGTTCTTTTTGTACCTTTCCCTGGTCCAGTTTCCCACTCTCTCTCATATTCCAGAGGTAATTTCTATCCTGTAATTAGTGTATATTTTTTTTTATTATTTAAAAATTCTTACTGAATTTGATGTATCCATATATGTCTAGGTAGAAATGTTTGTTTAAAAATTTTACACATGCTAGGGTTAATGCGTCATACTGCAAAGCCATTTGAACTGCAGGGTCGGCAATTCAAGCTCACCAGCTGCTCATACAGGGTCGCTATGGGTCGGAACCAACTCAACAGCACATAACAGCAACAAGAAGTGTATGTGTCTTTCTGTAACTTCTCATGCAGTATTGTTTTTGAGATTTTCTAGTAAACCCGATATCATAATGTACACGTACTCCCCGACTTATGATGGATTCAAGTTAATGGATGAACCCAGGATTTCAGACTGACTTGAAATGGTTCAGTCATGGCAGATGGAAACAAGGGTAGTGTGCATATTGCAGTACAACCAGATTTCCTGCATGCCAGATGTGGACGATAGTAGGAAAGAATCAGCTGACCACGCTGCTTTGAATGTGTGTCGCAGCATAGTCAGCGGCCATCTTTGAGTGGGGCACCACTGCCTATTTCCTACTCAAATCAAAACCTGACATGCAAGAGATTTGGTCTCTATGCAGTCCATATGCTGCTCTAGTTTCCATCAGCTATGACCAAATCAGTTTGAATGGGTTTGAAGCCCTGGGTGAATGGTATGTATGTGTACGCTGTATTGTTAGTAATATGTCTTAATTGTAGTATTGTGCTTGTTCTTGTCAATCCTACATGTTCAATGTTAGGATTTATGAAGATACTGCTAATTAAAGGCCATGAAAATGAAAACTTTCAGAACTGACTTACGATGGAGTCTTCAGAATGGAATCCCATCATAAGTCATGGACTACCTGTAGTTTTTGTTCATTTCAATGACATTTGATTTGAGAAATATTCCAATGTGTTTTTAGCCTTTTATTTTAGTTGTTTTGTTAGGAGTGTGACTTTTACCAGTTAATTAATGATTAAAATAACATAGTGTATTGGATTTTTCTATACCCAGGCTCCTGAGGTTATTATGTCTCAACATTATGATGCTAAGGCTGACTTGTGGAGCATAGGAACAGTGATATACCAATGCCTCGTTGGAAAACCACCTTTTCAGGTGACCTGACTTTTTTGTTGATACTTCCTGTTTTACCTGACATTGAAAGCTAACTGTGGGCTAAAACTGGTTTTGGGGAGATCACTATTGCTAAGGCTTTATGGAAATCATTTTGTGTCTTTTTTTCCTTCTTCTACACCCCTCGCATCCTAATGGCTCTTGAATTTATGTTGTCTATGCTATATAATTTCTTAAGTTAACAGTTTTTTGAATCTGAAAGCTGGAACAAAGTGAAATTAATTCCCAGATGGTATTAAAGATCACTGATATAGTAAGGTGTAGCACTTTGGAATGGGAGACTGGAAAAGATCGAGTGAGCTCTCTGAGGAATTTGATGTGTTTGATTTTATGATTGTTAGCACTGTGGAAAGTCACACACATTCAGTGGTGCCGTAGTCCACCATCTTTGAGTGGGACATCTCTGTTTGAAGTCCTGCTTTAATGTTATGCAGATGTACCCTCATTTTGAAATGACTGAACCAGCCCCTACTTGCAGTGAATTCTTTATCACAGTCACCTTCCCTTGCTGCCCGTGCAGCTTTTAAGTTATTGAAAAGACTTCAAGCCTTTTCCTACACTAAAGTAAGGCTAAGTAAGAACCAGTTGCATCTGTTACCACTAACTTGTGGAATAGATCTCATTTATAACCAAAGGACTGCCTGTAGATGCCGCTCCATTACTTCAGTGGTTCTCACTGTGAGGGTGCTGCTACGTGTTGTCCTGGAGAGGCTGAAATGTAGTAGTGTACTAAGGCCTTTTATGGAAGCCACTGAATGTTACTATGGCAAAGATGTTACAAAACAAAAATGGACCTGATCAGACAGGGCATACATATAGTCTGCAGAGTAGTGCTTCTTAGCTGTTTCTCAGATGTGCAGAATTTGTATACAATTCCAGAGGTTTTATAAGATCCTAGTCTCTGGTAGCATAGTGGTTATGAACTGAGTTGCTATGAGTCAGAACTGACTCCATGGCACAGTACAACAGCAAGTCCTGGTGTGGCACTACGGGATAATGCACTGGACTACAAGGTCAGTTTGAAATGCAGGGTCCATGGTTCAAACTCACCAGCTGCTCCTCAGAAATCTTATACAAGGTTGCTGTGAGTTGGAACCAACTCAACGGCACTTAACAACAACAACAACACCTAGCTAAGACTCCATGAGAAATCCAGGGCTTTCAAGTCTTGAATCTATGTTCTTCCTAGAGCAAGAGTATTTCAATCATGATTTAGAATTTTTGTCCCATTTGTTTACGAAATTAAACTTTTTTTTCTTTAAACAGGCCAATAGTCCTCAAGACCTAAGGATATTTTATGAAAAACACAGGAGCTTAATGCCTAGGTATGTGTTTTGTTTACACAAGAGTTTTATTACTTGTGAAATAGTCTTATTTATTTGAACTGTGTTTTTGTTTGTTATTACATAGTTTTGCAGTTGACAACGTTAATTATAGAAATGGAAAGTTTGAAAATTACTAGAGCTTTGTAAGTGCTGTTGTGGTCCTGTACTATTGTCTTTTTTTTAATAAAAAAAATTAAAGTTATAGAAGCTTTCTGGGGTCCTTAGAGGAGGAGGATATAGACAGAACAAATGTGCATAAAGTGTGTGGTGGTGGTAGTTGTGTGGCACTGAGTTGGTTCTGCCTCGTAGTGACCTGTGTAAGGGTTCTGAGGCTGTAAATCTTTACGGGAACAGAAAGCCTCCTCTTTCTCTTGCCGAGTGACTGTAGCTTTAAACTGCTGACCTTGTGGTTAGCCGTCCAGTTCAGAATCCAGAACGCTGCCAGGGCTCCTCCTTCTGCAGTCTCCCGGGATAAGAGGAGTTTGCTATGCATTTCTCCAGATCTTTTTTTTGGAAATACTTTATATGTGTTTGGTGGTTGTGTGGTGTTTTAAATATATTTATGCACATGCATGTGGTGACATGTAAATGATGTCATTTTGTGAATTGTTCTGCAACTTGCTTTTTACTGTACAACATGTAGTAGATGCTGAGTTCGTGTGGAACAACTAGAGTCTATGTTTACTTTATTGGGTTTGATCAGATTCCTGTTTCCATATTTTGGTTGTTACGAATAAGATTTAGTTAAAAAATATGAGGATGTGTGTCCATTTGTACATTTCTTTTGAATGGACTCCTGGAAATGGAATTGTTAGATCAAAAGTTATACTATCCAAATAAGCTCTATCAATTTATATACCTGTCAGCAGTATATGAGAATACTCCCTTCTTCACATTTTTACGAACATGTTATCAGACTTGAAAATTTTAGCCTCACAAATGAAGGAGAAATTAGCTGTTACTTTCATTTGCATTCTTATCATTAGTGAGCTTGGATTTTAAAAAATAAGTTTAATCTCTTGCATTTTTTAATTCATTGAATTGTATGTCCCTGTTTTTTAATAGGAGTCCTGGTCTGGCTTTGTAGGGTAAGCACTGGACTGTGAACCACAGGTCAGCAGTTTAAACCCACCAGCTGCTCCTTGGAAACCCTGTACAGGGTTGCTATGAGTTGAAATCGACTCCACAGCACTTAACAACAACAAAAACAACAATTATTTACTCAATTTTTGAATCCCTCATTTGTCTGTTTCTTACTGGGCTTTAGGACTCTGTATTATATCTCACTTCTATTTATTTTATACCCTCTTCCAGACAGAATTTGAGGTGGCTTTTTTTCTAAAAGAGAACTTTATAGCAACTGTTAGTACAAGGTAAAGGAACTCTGGTGGCACAGTGGTTAAGTGCTTGGGTATTAATGGAAAGTTCAAACGTACCAGACTCCTCACAGGAGAAATATGTGACCATCTGCTTCTGTAAAGAGTACAGCCCAGGAAATCCTCTGGGGCTGTTCTACTCTGTCCTATAGAGTTACTCAGAGTTGGAATTGCCTTGATGTAGTGGAGTTTTGCTTTTTTTTATTAGAACAAAGTTGAAGTTGTATTAAAAATCAAGATTTTTAGTTGTGCAGCACTGTATTCATGCCCAGTACACTTTGATAAATAATAGCTGTAAGCACAGTACAAGGAGCTCTGGTAGCATAGTGGTTACGAGTTGGCCTGCGAACCTCAGGGTCAGCAGTTTGAAACTACCAGCTGTTCCATGGGATAAAGTTGAGGCTTTCAGCTCAAGTAAAGATTTACAGCCTTGGAAACCTTGTACAGGGTCACTATGAGTGTGAACCAAGTCTACGACACATAACCACCACCCAGCACAATCCAGGAATCCTTTTCAGATCATACTAGTTCTCAAAGGTAATTGCTGTGTTTGTTGTTGTGTTGTTTTCCTTTTCCTTTAAGGTATGAGGCTTTACTGTGGTCTTTTTTGATATAAACTGCGCTATGTTTTTACTTGTGAAAGTGCATGTATATTTCACATACCGAAATGAAAGCCAACATTACATAGTTAATATATTTAGCACTTAGGTGGTTATTGTTTTCTTTCCTTTCCTTCAGTATTCCCAGAGAGACATCACCTTATTTAGCTAATCTCCTTTTGGGCTTGCTCCAGAGAAACCAGAAAGATAGATTAGACTTTGGTAAGTAAATTAAACAATTTTGTATTCTTTCTATTTTGATGTTCTGAAAAGATTCAATAAGAAGCTCTGGTAGCGTAGTGGTTATGAGTTGGGCTGCTAACCTCAAGGTCAGCAGTTGGAAACTACCAGCTGTTCTGTGGGAGAAAGATGAGGCTTTCTGCTCCCATAAAGATTTACAGCCTCAGAAACCCTGTACAAGGTCGCTATGAGTCCGAACCGACTCCACGGCACGTAAACACCACCATCGCCATATTGGTTTAGGAATAAAATTTAGATGAGTTTAACTTCTTTCTTTCCTTCTCTTTGTCTTTTTGTTTTTCCTTTCCTTCATTATTTTAATAAATATTTAGTTGCCTTCTGTGTTCCAGGTACTAGGGATACAGTAATAAAATATATTCTAGTGGAGGGGACCCAGTAAGCAAATTGTTAACTATATTCCATATTAGAAATTGGTAAGAACTGTGCAGAAAAAGAAGGGAAGAAAAATGGGAGCTAGGGCAGGAATTGAAATTTTAAGTAGGGTAGTCAGGGAATACGTCACTAAGAAAGTGACATTTGAAAATGAGATTGATGGTGTTGAGAGAGTAAGCCATGGTGACAATATGAAGGAAGAGCTTTTCAGACAAACTGGGTAGCCAGAACGACACTTGGAATCATGGTCCAGCCAAATTGACACAACTTTAATCATTGCAACTGTTAATCTTCCTAGGATTCCCTTGTATGTGATGAGTTTTTTCTTTTTTAATTTCTGCTTTCTAGATTTTGTTTTTGACTTCCAACAGTTTTATCTATGAAGTGTCCATCTGTATGTATACATGCCTTTGGGTTCTATTTTGAATTGAGGTTAACAGACTAGATCATCAGTTTTACATTCAATGCTTTGTTTCATCTCAGTGATTAGAATCCCTTCCCTGCAACAACAGGCTTCCTCCTTGTGGCTTCCTTTTTAGATCTTATATTTCTCAGATGAACAAAGCAAAAAATAATAGATGTATGCATACAAAACAAAAAATATATATTCACTGTAATGTCCTAAGGGCATAGTCTGCAAGCCAGCCTCCTGCCCGTGGGCACACAGGCTTACTCAGTCCATGGCCCTGGAGCTCCAAGCTGCTCTGTCTCTCCATGCCGTCACCTATGCACAGTCTTTCCCGTTGCCACTTTTCTAGGTAGTATCTAACACTCTATTCATGCTCTTCCTTTTTGATGGTCTTAGGATCATCTGTTCCTGAAATGAAAGGTTAATTACGTCCCCCTTTTAGTTACATATCTTTGACAATTACAGATGTGACAATTGGAATTAATCCTGCTAACAGTCACTCACAATTGAATCGTAAGATCCTATCAGCATTACATCCCATCCCCTTTCACCAGCTCCATCTGGAAAAGATGAAAACTATTCAGTGGGAATTCTACATTTTACCCCCTCATTCTGAAATGAGACATACTCATGATAGCTTATAAGCTAGCCACTTGGTGCCTTTTTAACCCCCATTTTTTATAGTCATTGTGTAGATTGCCTATCCCTATTAACCCAGTGCGCTGAGGAAACAAGCTTGTTCCTTGATATGAAGAATCCTTCCATTCCAGTTGAAATTTTGAGCAAATGCATCCATAAGTAATGGTCCACTTCATCAAATTGTAGCTATTTACACTTGCTTACAGTATCAAGCATCTTCATCTGGTTGAGTTCTGGTTGGCTAGCCATCCAAGCTGGGTCAAATGGGTGCTAGCTACAACTTTGGGAGCTCACTCATGTGTCCCTACACTTCATATCAGTTGGCTGCTTCACTCTCAGCTCTAGCCCCCAGTGGCTAGTTCAGTGCCCACGGACTCAGGAGTTCATCCATCTCTCTAAAGTTCAGACCAGCCAGCCCTTCCTTTTCTCGCTCTCATTTCAGGGTCAACAGGTGTCAGTAGAATATGGCCAAACTCAGCCGATGTCTTCATTGCCACACTTCTCCCACTTCCACTTACAAGTAGACCCAGGTTGTCACTAGCACTCACACTAAACTGCTCTTGGGTTCCCTTTGAGTTTCAGCCTTAGAAGCCCTGAGGGGCTGACTTTTCTTGCCTTGATGCCTCCAAAGCAAAAAACTTTATGTGCTGGCAGCCAAAAGTCTGCTTTTTGATTCCAGCAGGTCTTTCTTTCAATTAGAACTTTTGTCCTCCATGCAATTCTGTTGGTCTGAATGTCTTTTCAAGTGAGAATGTCCCAACTCAGGAGATTCTGGATGGGGCATAGGATTCCATCTAAGGGTCCATACTCTAAAAAGGTTTAACAAGAAGCAAATTTCCCTGGCCAAATTCTAATCCCCCTTTGAGCAAATCCAATCAGTTATAGGCTGAAGAAAGGCTTGCAAGCTTTTTATGATTATAATTCCCAGTGTTCATTTCTATCACATTTAAATGTCTATTTTACAGTAGTAGTTGTTGTTGTTAAGTGCCGTCGAGTCGGTTCCGACCCATAGCAACCCTATATAGGGTTTCTGAGGAGCGACTGGTGAGCTTGAAAATGCCAACCTTGCAGTTCACGTTGCAGTCTGGCACATTAATCCACAGTGCCACACCAGTAAGCTCAGTATTAAAAAAAAAAAAAAAATCAGGGTTTTGTTTCACACATTATGTTGCTCTAATGTGATCCTGTTTAGAGCAGTTGGTAGTGGTAGCTGGACACGCGCTAGTTCCTCTGGTCTCAGAGTCGGAGACACTAAGGTTCACTTGTCCATTAGTCTGTTGGACTAGTTAATTCCAAGCATCTTTAGTTCTTACCACACTTCATTCTTCTGCGCATGGAGAGACCAGTAGCTGCACCTTAGATGGCCACTCATGAATATCCCAGATGCTACTCATCCAAGTAGGATGAAGAAATTGTCTATGTGGACTGTTCTGTGCCAGTTGACCATGGTATATGAGGTATACCTGTGTCCTCAGGCTCAGCTACTCATTGCCTTAAGATGTTTGATAATATCTAAGTTTTCATCATTTGGCTGCTGTAGGTACCACTACATTCACAGTGGCGTTTGCAGGATAGGAAAATACTCATGTACTAATGTTCTCTTTCACATTCTTACATATCTGTGGGACATAGAGTATTCATAGCTACACATATATATATGCATATATATACAAATACATGTGTGTATATATATCCACACTTCCACACATAATACTCTTTGTCCCATAATCATTCAGCATGTGTCTGCCCATGTATCTAACCACACAATATTATTGTTCCAACGTTGTGTATATGTATTGCTATTTACCTCTTCCTCCTTTAGCTTCCCTGTGTCTTCACGTATCTTTATTTTTTTTCTGCCTCCTCCCTCTTGTATGTTGCCCTCCCCCTTCTTGCATATTGTCTTCCTTGTCACCCAAACTAACATGTGTCTGCCTGCTAGCCTGTGAATTAATGTCTCCTTCCTTCCACCCCTGGTAACCATCAAAGAATATTTCTTTTAGTCTGGAAACCTTTTCTTAAGCTTTTACAATAATGATCTCATATAGTATTTATTCTTTTGTGATTGACTAATTTTACTCAGTGTGATGTACTCCAGGTTCATCCATGGTATGAGGTGTTTCAGAGATTCATTGTTATTCTTCAATATTTAATAATATTCTATATTGTGTATGTACCAAAGTTTACCCATTCTTCCATTGATGGGCACTTAGCGTCATCTTTTTGCTATTGTGAATAGCGTGTAATGAACGTTGGTGTACATATATCTACTCTTCTTTCTTAAGATATATACACAATAGAGGGGTTGCTAGGTCATTCCATGTTCTCTAGAGTGGGTAAACCGTAGTACAGTCCTACCAGTAATGTGGATATCTGGTGTGGTGCTGTAGGATAAGCACTAGACCGCAAGATGGGTAGTTTGGACGCAAACCCTATACAGGGTTGTTATGAATCAGAACAGACTTGATGGCACTTAACATCAACAACAGCAGTAGTGTAGGAGCATCCCGATCTGTCCATACCCTTGGCAGCCTTTGTTGTTTTCTTTTCTTTCTTTCTTTCTAACTTCCATGCTAATGGTGTGAGATGATATCTCATCGTTTTCATGTGGCAGTGTGTGTTAATGCACTGGACTGCAAGGTCAGCGGTGCGAGCTCACCAGTCACTCCTCGGAAACCCTCTACAGGATCACTGTGAGTTGGAATCCCCATGACAGCACTTGACAACAACAACAACAATGGCTAATGAGGAGTCCTGGTGTGGTGCAGTGGATTAATGCACTGGACTGCAAAGTTGGTTTGAATCACGAGGTTGGCGGTTCAAACTCACCAGCTACTCCTCGAAACCCTGTACAGGATCGTTGTGAACCGACTCAATGGTACTTAACAATAACAACAGCAATGGCTAATGATGGTGAACATTTCTTCATGTATTTGTTGGCTGCCTGGATATCGTCCTTGGTGAAATCTCTGTTCATGCCCTGTGCCCTTTTTTAAATTGGGTGGTTGTTCGTTTTCTTGGACAGATGTTGTAGTTTTCTGTAAGTTTTAGATATTGGTCTGACCCATAGCGACTCTGTATAGGGTTTCCAAAGAGACTCTGGTGAGCTTGAACCACCAACCTTGCAGTTCATACAACTTTGCAGTGTGACGCATTAGCCCACAGCACCACACCCGGACCCTCTTTTGTATGATAAGTCTTTGCAAAATATTTTCTCAGACTGTGGGCTCCCATTTTACTCTTTTTGCAAAATCTTTTCACACACATAGGTTTCTAATTTTTAGGAGGTCCCGGTCATCTATTTTGCGTTATGCTGCTTGTGTGCTTTTTGTAATGTTGGCTAGTATATGTATGCCATGTATTAGAGCCCCTGAGTTTGTTCCTAGTTTATCATTGATCTTTTTTTTTTTTTCCAACCAGAAGTCATAACTTTATTAATGATAGCAACAGTACAAGTTTCAAACCAAACTGCAGCTACTCTTCTGAAAGAGCAAACAAACTCCTTGTTTTCAGATGGTTACATTGTTAATCCCATAATGGC